TATATTTTAAAATATTTTGGAATGAACACCTTGAACTCTGCAAACATTCAGACAATGGTGAGAACAGAATCCTGTGGATATTGAATAGCACTTGGTATGCTACAAGCTTCAGTCAGTATGTTTCCTAGGAGGGAAATGATGGCTGGAAAGCCTTATTGAAGGGGAATAAAAGGGCATATTTGGGATGTCAAGTTGTTGAGTATACCATATTACATATAAAGCTTGCTTTGAGAAAGACTATAAGGATTTTGGCATGATTTTTGAAGCTAAATGTGGCTGATGAAAATTTTTCTATATACCTGAGATAATAATTTCAAGCACATAGACTCAAGTGGAATCTGTATGCAGATGTTGACTCAAGATCAGATTGACACTATCTGCTGCTGCATGCATCTTTCTTTTAAACCAATAACAGTATGATCATTACAAGAATAGCAGCAAACAGAAAGTAAAAAAAAAAAAAAAAAAAAAAAAAAAAAAACTGGCCTTCAAGAACAAGTCATTACCAGAAAAAATTGCTTCAGGAAAACCCAATTGCAAGTTATTTTAGAATAAATTTAAAGCAAATCTAAAGGAGAAAAAAAAATAACATCAGGAAAGGAGGAGATAATAATAGAAAATAACTTCAGGAAAATCCATTCTTAAATTATTCAGAATAAATCTGAAGCAATTAAGGAGGAAAATAACAGAAAATTACATTAAATGGAGCTCCACCTTGCAACCAGAAGATCCTCTTTTCCAGGAGAGGCCAGTGCCTCATCTAACAGCCACTTCCACTAGCTACTCCTGTCTGCCACGAGGCCCTTTTAGTTGCTCACTTCAGATCCCAGAACATTTTTTTCGTCACACTCTCCAATTCCCAAGCCCCTCTGTGCTTAAATGTTGAGTCTGCAACAAAGCCTATAGTTTTGTTTTGTTTCTTTTGTTATAAGGACTCTTCCATTGAACATCTGCAATAGTGCTGGTGTAGACCTGCAATAGCTGCCATCTTTGGGCACTTGCTACGTTCTTGGTAGAAAGCCCCTTTATCTGTTATCTAAATTAATCTATTAACTAGATGCATTCCTTCCCTATTATGGAGCTGTTTTCAGGGATCAAAGTTCTTTAAATTGTTATTTGCTATGAGCAGTGTTGATCACACCACAGTATCCCCCTAAAATTTGTTTTGGGGACAGTTCTCATAATCTTTTTTGGGGGGATTGAACACAGGGGCACTTGGCCACTGAGCCACATCCCCATCCCTATTTTGTATTTTTTTAGAGATAGGGTCCTACTGAGTTGCTTAGTGCCTCACTTTTGCTGAGGCTGGCTTTGAACTCATGATCCTCCTGCCTCCGTGGAAGGAATTTACTATTTAATACTTGGAATTCACTGGCACAATGTGTCTGTAGAAAATGAAATATATTTTGGTAATTTATGTTGATACTTTGTACTCTTTTAATAAAGGGGACTTTTTTTCTTTCTTTTCTTGTTCTCCCCCCCACCACCCCCAAAGCCTAGTACTTAGAAATACTCCAACTCAGAATGTTTTCTTTAATTTTCCTATTTAATTTTTATACTTCCATAGTTATTAGGAGCTCATTACATGCAAACTAGACTTTTTTTTTTTTTTGTATTGAGCATTGATCCCAAGAGTGCGTTACCACTGAATTACATGCCCAATATTTTTTGTTTGTTTATTTTTCATTTTAAGACAGGGTCTAACTAAGTTGTTGAGGGCTTGCTAAACTGCTGAGGTTGGCTTTGAACTTGTGATCCTCCTGTCTCAGCCTCCCGAGTTACTGGGATTACAGGTGTGAGCCACCATGCCTGGTCAATCTGGACGATTTTAATAAAAAATTATCCAGACAAACCTTTCATGAAAGTTTTTATTAATATATAACATATGGTATAATAGTCTAAATTTATTTCATTTAACACTGAGATCTAGTGTATATTCTTTTTACAATAAATAGAAATAATAAGTCTTCTTGCTTCTCTCTCTCTCTCTCTTTTGTTTTTTAGGCGTCAAACAATTTCATTAATGAGTCAGTATCAAAAAAATGCTGTGGACCAACAATTGTTTTTCCTTTGAAGCTTGATATATAAGAAAAATTTTACTCTCATATCAAATTTAGAGTTTTTAAATGGAAACATAATTAAGGCATTTAGAAACCTGTTAAGTATAGGTTAAATGTCAGTCAAAAGAGTACTACTGAAATGGAAATCATTGAAAATATGTTGCTTTCCCCTGAAAGTCACAGATTACGACCTTTGAAAACCTGTTATGTATGTTACTCTGGCAGAAGAAACTAGCTGATGACTAAGTAAGAGATATGTTAAGAGTTTCCTACACACTGTTTAATACACAATACAGTACTTCTTATTAGTAATAAGGAGAAAGGGAAGACTAATGGAAAAAGGGACAGAGAGCTGCCAGACTGAATTCCCCAATAACTGCAGACCAAGTAACAATCTAGCACTCAAAAAATGCTACTGGTGATTTATAAAAGAACCTTTCTTTGTTGGACCAAGTGGGAAAAGTGCACATGAATCCTTCAGTAATTGAAAGACATTAGAATTATCCAAGAGAAGCAAAAACTAACCTTAAATTCAAGCCATTCCCTCAAAGGCTGGGAGGATACTGCTTTCCCTTCGCTAGCAAGAAAAGCCTCTGTTTTCTCAGTTTACATAGTTAATTCTACCACGAGCAACAGATTTTCATTTGCTCTCTACATATAAAAAAGTATTTTAAGAATGTCAGATGACTGCTCTCTTTTGCGTTTCCACTCTTTTCCTTTCAAAATGTCTATTATTGCTTGTGGGTCGGGAAGAGGAGTTGGAAACCAAATTATTAATGCAACAGAATGCTTTGTTACCAATGGCACAATCTTGTAGACATTTACACAGGTAATTTTAAGAAGTCATAATCTTTAGGTGAATGTATTTCTGACTTTTATTCATTTTATTGTTTCTATGCAACCCACAGATATGCCAAGTTCTGCTTAATTCAGCCCTGACAAATTTTCCTTGTTCCTGGTAGGAAGTTCTACATCTTGCTGTTGAACCTGTGATGAGTAGTGGCATAATGAACAATTGGTAACTTCAATCTGTCCTCCACAAAAAACGAAAAACAAAAACAAAAAATATTTTCATCTATGTTTGTGAAAATGATATATTTTTATTTTGCAACAATCTAGCACTCAAAAAATACTACTGATGCCGGGTGCAGTGGCACACACATGTAATCCCAGCAGCTCCAGAGGCTGAGACAGGAGGATCTAGAGTTCAAAGCCAGCTTCAGCAACAGTGAGGTGCTAACCAACTCAGAAAGACCCTGTGTCTAAATAAACAGAAAATAAGGCTGGGGATGTGGCTCAGTGGCTGAGTGCCCCTGAGTTCAATCCCTGGTACTAAAATAAATAAATATTTTATAAATCATCAATTTATTTATATTAATAAATGATTTATAAAAGAATCTTTCTTTGTTGGACCAAAGATAGTGGAAATTCTTTAGAAAATTATAAATTCTGTGTATTTCCATATAACTTCCCTTTGGGATGTCTTAAAATAATAAAATAAAAAGAAATGTAATTTATATATTGTATAAAGCACTCTTATGCCCTGTGAATTTCTTATTAGGGCACAAGTTCCAATGATTATTTTATAAATTCTTTACAATGTAGGTATTTTTTTTACTTCAAAGGATAACTATCCATTATTCAGTTATTTGATCCAGCTTATTGAATTCTGACTTTATGGGACTCTGCACCTTTCATGGTTTGAGCTATTTGCAATTCTGTAAGTTGTAGATAACAAATAGTAATGCAAAATAATTTTTGTCTATAGACAGAAATAAATTATGTCTAGTGGAGCTTCAACTGACTTCTTTCCAATATTATAGAAAAATCCAGGTTTGCTTCTATTTGTACATCATTTAAATTTTCCTGATCTTTAGATGCCTTTGTTCTTTGGATAGATATTTGAATTGGTGGTAATATCTTACTAATGATAATAACTTAATTAAAAAATAAATTGAATACAATGATTAGCACTTGTTTATTTTTTATTTATATTATGATTTTACTTTTAGTTGTTTGAAAAATTATTTTTCAATAAAAATATAAAGGAAAAGTAGGATTTTGAATTTAAATTTTTGAAATCAAATGTATATTATTGCTGATTTCACAGGTGAATTACCAGCTTCTTTTTCTTTCTTTGTTTTTTTCTGTGATCTATTTTACTCTTTTAACTTTCATTCATCTATCATTTATTTATTTATTTTTTCTGGATATTTTATTTTATTTATTTATTTTAAAAATTTATATATGACAGCAAATGCATTACAATTCTTATTACACATATAGAGCACAATTTTTATATATCTGGTTGTATACAAAGTATATTCACACCAATTCGTGTCTTCATACATGTACTTTGGATAATAACGTCCATCACATCCGCCATCATTTCTACCATTTACTTTTTTAACTCCAAATAAGTGTTTTGATGAGTGGACGATCGATGCAACAAATTAAAATATAAATCTGTGCTCCCCAAGGTTAAAATGCACAAACAAGCCTGTCAATTTTTAACCACCATTGAAAAAATGATATATTTTAATTTTGGCAACAACTTAATCCTCAAGAAACATTGATGATTCAGCTACTTGGGAGGCTGAGGCAGGAGGATCACAAGCTCAAAGCCAGACTTAGAAAGCTAGTGAGATCTTGTATCAAAATAAAAAATAAAAGTAGCACTGGGGATGTAGCTCAGTGGTGCTGTGCCTCTGGGTTCAATCCCAGTATTGGAAAAAAATAGTAATAATTTATGAGAGAACTTAACTTTGTTGCATCAGAGACCTGGAAGCTCTCAAGACAATTATAAGTAATATATATTTTTCACATGCCTCTCTTTCAGAGGTTTATATTTTGATTGAAACCACTCATAGAAGTCATTACATTGTTTTTAAAAGTAACATTTCATGATATCCAATAAGTAAAAACAGTTTTTTTACTTACTGTGCCCCACCAGAGAGCATCTGCATATGTAGAAAACTCCTTATTTGCATCCTTTTCCACCAGATAGACAAGGAAAGATGAAAATATAAGAACCAAAAATCCTATGTACCAAGCTGTGATTAATTCCTAAATATAAAAGGAATGAAAGATTTTTAGAAGCAAAAAACTGAAAAAAGGGGGAAAATCTACGCATAATTTCACTTACTTTACTACTTTTTAGATACTTATTCTATTCTTTAAATAATCCATTACCTACCATGTCCCTAAATTGCTTTAACTATCTTTGAAATGACTAAGTTTGCTTGTGATAGGTTTATTAAATATTATTATAGTTATCAATAACGTGGTTCAAAAATTTTGTTCTAAAACCCAGAAAACAAATCTTACCTTGCTGTGTGCATAAACTACCGAACCTAGTAATTTCCAAGTGCCTCCTCTCCGGTCCATGCGCACCATACGGAGGATCTGTAGGAAACGGAGACTTCTGAGTGCAGACGTGGCGAAAATATTACCCTGAGTTTTTGCTGAAACAACTGCTATTGAAGCAATAAGAACAATGGTATCTGAAAGAAAAGGTTGAGACAGCCATCAGTTGCATGACTAAGAATTTTTATTTCTCAAAACATTATTTCTAAAAGGTTCACTTGGGCCTGTTTGAGGCACAAATAGATAAACAGATCTCGAACTCTAGCCTTTCCTAGAGCTACTTGGGTTTCCCCTAGTGGTTGAGAGTGACAGGACTCATCTAATGCTAAGTTCTGACTTTTGGTCACCTTGAGCTTTACCCATGCAATTTTGAACTACATACTTTGTAACCTCTAGTGAACTGAACAATGGCTTTCAGGCAGTTCAGTGTTTCCACACTGACTGTGGGGCAGTCTTCCAAAATACTTCTGAGCTCATTAGCATTCATGTCTGCAGAAAGAAGCTCCTGCCTCAGCCCCTATCATATTCACCTCTCCCTGGTTCATGTGGTAGAGGCAAGACAACCAATCCAGGTGTAAAATGCTGCTTGCTTGGTGTAATGTTTATTTTCTTGCCAAACACTTTGTATCTCTTTTATGTCCCAAATTCCTAATGTTGTGAAGTCTGCAGTTTTGCATACTGTTAAACAAAGGCCTCCACTAAGCTGAATACTCGAGGCTTCTCTATACAGTATTCTTTATACCTGGTCTGTCAGTGCGTGAAAGTCTGGTGCACAAATTGAATAATATTACATTTGTTACAATAAAGTATGTAATTATAAACAAACGGTATTTCCTGGGAATGGACGTTCAATGTTTGACATGTTGACATTTGGCTTAAAAATATCTGCCCTTTTGTAAGCAAAAAGGAGACAAAGAACAGCTAATGAAAGCATAGAAAAGATAAAAGAGGACTTAACCACTCCATGAGTAAATATCTTGAGTGATGAGAAATAGATTTAGAAGTGGCAAAATGAAGTGGAGATGAATGATCACCTGTGGCTATTTTAATTCCTTAGCTTGACCTTAACATCTTCAAACAAAATTTCTTTCCTGTTTCAAGTGAGTTGTGCATTACTGTACTTCCACTCACCAAAGAACCAGTTCCACTTCAAAGGTGTTGCATTTGTCATGTTTTCATGATTCTCAGGATTGGCTATTGTGTAAATGTGTATAATTCATTCAGCTCATACTTTTCCCTCCACTCAGAAAGATCTGGTCTCTTGGAGCCAATTGTCAACATCTTCTGAACTGTATGGGTGCCCCCTTTTTGGGCCAGTGCATGAAGAAAGGGGGTCTGAGATTGACAGTGTATGCATCAGTCAAAGGGATTTTCCCAGTCAGATCGAAACTCTATGTAACTTTGTGGATAGGTGCCAGAGAACCCCAAAGGCATCCTTGAGTTCCTGTTCTAGGCAACTGTTGGAAATAATAAGGAACTAAATGGATTGTGACAGACACTGATAACATATTTTCAGTGAATAAAATTCAGTTTCTTGTTTGCTAATGACATGATCCTATATGTAGAAGACTCGAAAAACCTCCACCAGCCGACTTTTAGAACTGACAAATTCAGCAAAGTTGCAGGACACAAGATATTATGGGTTAGATATGCAATGTTCCCCCAAAACCTCATGTGAGACAAGAATTTTCAGAGGTGAAAAAATCAAATTATGATAAGAATAATCTAATCAGTGGTTTAATCAAATCATATGGATTAACTGGGTGGTAATTGTGGGCAGATAGTGTGGGGCTGGTGGAGGTTGGGTACTGGGGGTGTGACTTTTGAGTTTATATTTTGCCCCTGGTGAGCAGAGCCCTCTCTCTGCTTCCTGGTTGCCATGTTTTGAGCTGTTTTCCTCTGCCATGCCCTTCTTCTATGTGTTCTGCCTCATCTTAGGACCAGAGCAATGGAGTTGACCTTCTGTGGACTGAACCTCTGAAACCATGAGCCAAAACAAAATTTTCCTCCTTCTTCCTTTACATTGTTCTTGTTAGGTCTTTTGATCACAATGATGCAAAAACTGACTAAAACACAAGAGCAACGTACCACAAAAAAAAAAAAAAAAAAAAAAATCAACAGCATTTCTATACTTCAATAATGAATCTGCTGAGAAAGAAATCAGGAAAATTTATTTCAATTCACAATAATCTCAACAAACAAACAATCAAACAAACAAACTTGGGAATCTAACTAAGGAGTTGCAAGACCTCTACAATGAAAACTAAAGAACATGAAGAAAGAAACTGACAAAATTTAGCAAAGGACTCCCAACTACTTGCCCACGGAGGTCTTGCAATGCCTTAGCAGGATCACCAGCATCAGCACTGGTGCAGAATTCCTGGACACCACTCCCACAAAGGACACTCAGCCGCTACCCACATGCAGGAACTCTGGCTGCCACTCCTTTGTGGACCCCCATCTACCAACGTGGAGCCCCCCCTGGTCACCTCCATCTTGGGACTCGGCAGCTACTGCCGTAGTCCCCTACTCACAGTAGCCTGCCTGCACCTGGGGACATCACAGGCTCTGAAGAAAGCTGATAGCCACAAGACTGCATGCCATAGAGAGCTCATCTTTGAGTGCACTGCACGGTGCCATCGCCCAGCTCCCCCCACCCGATCTGACACCCCATAGTTGAAAACAGCTGCCTTCATCTTGATTCACCTCCATCACCATCTTTAGTATGTGCAATTACCAGTTTGGAGTACTGGACAGCCAGGTACCCATAGTTTTCTAATCACCTCCAATCCCCAGCAGCCGCTAACTCAGCGGAGTGACTGCCCAATACAAAATAGTCCTCCGTGACAGGTGCACAGCCACCAGAGTACAATACACAAGACCCCCGGAGAGAAATGTTCCTGATTAGGAAAGGGAGAGAGTGAGGGAGATACACTTTAGAGACTAATTTAGAGGGCAGGAACTGTTAGGTCTACAGGTGAGATGAGGAGATAAGACCTGGCTCCCACATCACAGGAGGAGACCCCAAAGGAGATCCTTGAGGTGCAGTCTCCGAATGGGACCAGCGGGTGCCATACTCCACTTCCAAGTGCTCTGCACCCAAGACCAACCCTCACACCCTGGTAACCCCCACCATGCAGAGGGTGGAGATAACAACTAATAACAAACAACCCCGCCATTGGATGAGAAGGGAAGCAAGAAAGACACTGATCTTCAACCAAGACAATCCTTGTTTCTTCCTTTGAGTTTTTTTCTTTCTTTCCCCTCTTTATTCTTCTGCCCTCACATCCCCAACATACGTGAAACCAAGTACTTTGCATGAATTAGGATATTGAGGAGAGAGACGATTGAATAGTATATTACAGTTGTGTTGTATATTATTTTTTTCTGTCTCCAATTTTTACTATTTTAACTTTTCTTAATATATATATATTTTTGTCTTATGTACTCTACTGTCTTCCCTATTTACTTGTCTACACCAAATTGCTACCTCTCTATTCTCCTGCTACTAAACTTATTCTTTAGATTTCTCTAACACACTTCCCAAAATATAATAACTCTATATCCTCATCTCATACATCCTCAGTATATCTTCCTACCCCTCACCACTGGTTTTTTTGTCCACCATCAGAAACTGTAAACCCTTTTACAAACCTACTGATTATATTGTAGATAATAATTGAATTCACCAATCCTGTATATTGTTACCAAACTGTAAACATCTTAATAACAACTATTTGTTTTTAGGTGGTATTTTGTTTACATTGGGATCTGTTAACATTGTCCTTCACCTCAAAGGAGAAGTACTGGAACCCCACAAGGGCACTAGAAGCCTATACGGTAAAAACAGTAACACCTCAGATCTACAGAGCGAGAAAGGAAGACATACAAGCAGCATGAAAAGACAAGGGAAGAAAGTGCCCCAAACAAATCAAGATACCACTTTATTGGAATCCATGGCCAGCACAGCAGATGAAATGACAGAGAAGGAGTTCAGAATGTACATAATTAAAATGTTCTGTGAATTAAAGGATGATATAAGAAAGCAAATACAGGCAGCAAAAATCATTTAGACAAATACATAAGCAAATACAGGAAGCAAAAGATTACTTCAATGGGGAGATAGAGATTCTAAAGAAAAACCAAACAGAAATCTTTGAAATTAAAGAAACAATAAACCAAATTAAAAGTTCAATTGAAAGCATCACCAACAGAGTAGACCACTTGGAAGAAGGGATCTCAGACAATGAAAACAAAATATGTAATCTTGAAAAAAATGTAGACCACACAGTGAAAATGGTAAGAAACCATCAGCAGAATATTCAAGAAATATGGGATAGCATAAAAAGACAAAATTTAAGAGTTTTTGGGATAGAGGAAGGCATAGAGTTCCAAACCAAAGGAATGAACAATCTATTCAACAAAATAATATCAGAAAATCTTCCAAACATGAAGGATGAATTGGAAAACCAAATTCAAGAGGCTTACAGGACACCAAATGTACAAAATCACAATAGATCCACACCAAGGCACATAATACTGAAAATGCCTAACATACAGAATAAGGAGAGAATATTAAAAGCCACTAGAGAAAAGAATCAGATTACATATTGGGGGAAGCCAATTAGGTTGTGTGCAGATTTTTCAACCCAGACCCTGAAAGCTAGAAGATCCTGGAATAACATATATCAAGCTCTGAAAGAAAATGGATGCCAACCAAGAATTTTGTATCCAGCAAAATTAAGCTTTAGATTTGATGATGAAACAAAAATCTTCCATAATAAACAAAAGTTAAAAGAATTTACAGCTAGAAAACCTGCACTATAGAACATTCTTGGCAAAATATTCTATGAAGAGGAAATGAAAAACAAAACAATGAAAATCAGCAGAGGGAGGTATTACACTAAAGGAAAAGCTAATCAAAGGAGAAACCAACTCAAGTTAAATAACAAAAATAAGCAAAAATGTCTGGGAATACAAATCATGTCTCAATAATAACCATGGCCTAAACTCACCAATCAAAAGACATAGGCTAGCTGATTAGATCTAAAAACAAATAAGCAAGCAAACAAACAGATAAACAAAAAAAACCACAAAAAACACCCAACAATATGCTGCCTCCAAAAGACTAATCTCA